ACATCGTCACTAACACTTGTTACTTTATGGTTTTTCGATGGTAGCCGTTTTCACCGGTGTGAAGTGTTACCTCGTTGCGCTTTGAGTTGCCTTTCAGAAATCTAAAGCTTTGAAAGTGTTTAAAGAAAGGAATACGGAGCCTTCGCTTTTACCGGGCCAGCATGGACGCAGATAGGTTGATGAGGACCTCTTGCAGAGGTCCTGGGGAGAGAGGGTGGTGGCCTGAATAGGGTGGTGGCAGAGGGGCTGAGAGGAGAGTGTGTGCCGAGGGTGCAGCGAGGAAGCAGGGAGCACAGATCCTGGGGCTCTGGCTCGAGTAATTGGATCAGGAACAGGTTGCGGTGGGAATTTCTGGTTCGCTTTGCCCCACCCTCCACCCCGGGTAAGTGTTCTTGAGAGAAACACTTCAGTGATTTCTTTCAGAGAGTTTTTTCATCTTCATACCACGTCTCCCCCGGATGATCTGTGATGACCTTCACTGTTCTCTGTTCGGTTCAGGTCAGGGAGCCTTGAGCACCTGTTACAGACCAGGTGCCGTGCTCGACTATAAGGAGATCAGGACGTATGAGAGAGAGGCAGCCTGCCGGTCAGAGGTTTGGTCTCAGGACCCCTTTACGTTCTTATAAAATGTTGAAGATCTCAAAGAGCTTTTGTTTAGGTGGGTTGTATTCTTTGATGTGTACCATAATAGAAATAAAGGGTGAGCAACTTAAAAGCAGACATTAGTAAAAACGATAATGTATGTTAATAGAACTTTAAGAAAAAATTTTAGAGAGAGAGAGAGATCACGAGCAGGGGAGGGGCAGAGGGAGAGAGAGGGGCTCTGAACTGAGGCAGGGCCTCATGATCCATGACCCTGGGATCATGACCTGATCATGGACTCTGGGATCCATGACCCTGGGATCAAGAGTCAGATGCTCAACTGACTGAGCCACCCAGGCACCCCTAAATAATGTGTTTTTAACGAAAACGACTACGTTTTCCAAAACAATTGTAGTGAGAAGAGTGACTTTTTCGGGTCTTTTTAATGTCTGATTTACTAGAATACAGCTGAATTTTCATGTTAACTCCTTTAATTTGTTGCGACACGCCATGCCACGCAGCCTCTGGAAAACCCCTTTGGACGCTTGAGAATGAGATTGAAGAGGCAGATATCTTAGTGATACTGTAAAAATAGCTTTGGCCTCAACGTGCTCTCTGCGAGGGTCTTGGAGACCACAAGGGATCCCCAGGCCGCTGGATTGCTGGTAAGAGCGTGGGCGCTAGAGCCGGACTGCATGGGTTCGAATTCCAGCCCTACCTCTTATGAACGAGGCAAGTATCTAACCCCTGTGCCTCAGTTTGCTCACATGTAAAATCGGCCTAAGTACCCACGAAGGCTCATTACGAGGATTCAGTGAGTATAGATTTATAAAGTGTTGAGAACATTGCTGGGAGATAAAGTGCTGCATCAGTGTTTAATTGTTTCTTCACTGTTTATTTCCAATAATTGAGACCTAATCTTTCCTTCGAGGGATTTATCCTAGTGATGTAGGTAGATGAACAACCAAACCTCAGGATTTTGTGTAAGGTCACCGAGGGATGTATTTGCTGCAGGGACACAGGAGTGGGCTTCTCGGGTTTGGGGTCAAGAACTAGGATGTTCTTGGTCGTTTGAACGATAAAAGGAGCAGCTTTCCCGCAGGGTCGGAATGGCAGGTTCTTGGTTCAGATTAGGTCCATCCCTGTTAGCATTTGTCACAGGCTGACTCTTTCATCTTCCTTATCTGTAACAGAATGAGCATAAGCAGCCTCGTTGGCTTGCGTCTCTGATGCCTGCTCAGAACCAGAAGCCTTATCATGGTTGGTTAGACATCCTCACTGCCTGGGACAGCAGGTGGTCCGTGAGAGTTTATTGCCTGGCTGTAAATGAATGACTGTCAAAATGTGAGGGAAACATTTCTGTGATGCGCTGGGATTTGGCGGTAGATATTTGTAATCACTTGCTAACCCTGGAGTATTATAAGGAAGCAGCGGCCGATTATATTTTGATTGCAGTTAAGCAAGAAGAATCTAATCACTTTGCTGCTGAAAGCGATGGTAACGTTTGTGTCTTACTGTAACGTTTGTTACTTTTGAAACTTTTGTTTCAGTGAATCTCATTGGGTATTTATTTAAAATCTCACTTACTTAAAATGGCTAAGTTACATAGTTGTATTCAAATAACGAGCTTCAGCGTGTTTAGAAACGTAGTATGCTTACGGTAGCGTCACACTATTGGTCAAGGAGGTGTGATAAACAGGGATTGTAAGGCACTAGGAGGTGTGTACCTGTCTGCCACGTCAATACTTGTCTTGAGTGGGTCCTTTTTTCCTCCAGGCATATTTAGTTGTTAAGCTCCGGCGTGGTTTTTGATGGTTATTGATGACGTTAATGTTGTTGTTCTCGGGCAGAATTGTGTTTTCTGCGGTTGAGTTACGGGTCTTTTCTCCTCTCACGTTATAGATCCGACGGAGGCGCCTCGCACGACTTGCTGGTGGACAGACCTCCCAGCCCACCACCCCGCTCACCTCGCCCCAGAGGGAGAACCCGCTGGGGCCTCCCATAGCAGCATCAGCCCCGGGCCCCTCCCAGAGCCTTGGTCTCAATGTCCACAACATGACCCCAGCTACCTCCCCAATAGGTGCATCAGGTAAGCCTTACTTTCATACCTGGGACATTTAGTCCTGGCTTTCTGTGAGGCTTATGGTTGTGACAGTTTCACAACGGGGTAAGATTGGGCCGCATTTCCACAGACGAGAACATGGGACAGCAGCTGTTCAAAATCCTGCGAGCAGTAGTTTAAAGATTAACATCATTACGTTGTGTTTTGTTCGTCTCTATTCATTTTGATGGTGATCTGTTCAAACTAATTGTTTTCCTTTCTGTAATTTTTATCCTTTGTTTCAAACAGGACCAGGTCTTAATTTCTGATGGTAAGGCAATTAAGACTTAATTTGGCTCAGCCGATTTTATGAGTTTGGTTGATGCTTTCCTTCTATGATAAAATCATCTGAAAAGGCAAGATTGAAATAATGGTCAGAATAACAGGCCTCTAATTACGGATTTCCATGTGTTCATTTAATGTTGTCAACAGAACTGTCTGAATTTTTGCAGTATAAAAGTTCACCTGATGTGATGTTTATAGCTGTCTCATTGACAATTATTTAACTATTGTGAAAATTTCTTTTTTTATAATTAATGGGCTCATCGTTGATATCCAGGTATGTCTTTGTTGGGAAACAATGATACTGATTCATCCTGCGTATTTGAAAATACCTTTTGTCACGTGAACTTTTCTATTGAACGTGAGAATTATTATCATTATAATTATTATAATTACTTAGGATTCTAATTTGAAAAAGCAGGTGCATTCAGACCTGTATTCATCATCACATCGTTGAATAATTTAATATGATTGTTATTTCTGCATTTAATGCACTCTCCCTTAGTTGCCTTCCACATAATCTGTCTTTCTGAACTAGGTAAGTCGTCCATTAAAAGTATTTGCAGAGGGGCTCCCGGGTGGCTCAGTCGGTTACGTGTCTGACTTTGGCTCAGGTCATGATTTTGTGGTACGTGAGTTTGAGCCCTGCATTGGGTTCTGTGCTGACAGCTCAGAGCCTGGAACCTGCTTCAGATTCTATGTCTCCCTCTCTCTCTCTGTCCCTTCCCCACTTGAGTGCTCGCTCTCTCTCTCTCTCTCTCTCAAAAATAAATAAATATTAAAAAAATTTAAAAAAGTATTTGCAGGGTTTCAGTTACTGTTACTCTTGATAGGCGTTATTGTAGACTCTTCCCCAGGTAAATATAAATGCTTATGCGTCCTCCTGTTGACTCTAAAAGTGAGAGAGGTTCAGATTAAATCATCAGTTAGCAAGAAACAGTGACTTTGCCTGAAATGTTGCTGCTGAACACCTTTGAGAAGCTGTGATCGTCTTCTGGTAGGGGATGGGCTCAGGATTCCAGTTGGGTTTTTACCCTTTCCTTGGGAAGGGTGCCACCAACAGTGCTGTTGGTTCCACCATGGCCAAGTGCCTCCTGGAATGCTGGAGAATGTCCGGGGAGAGCTAGTGGGATGCAGAGGGGCTTAAGGTCATGCTACACCAGTGGTAGGCAGGAGACCGAGCTCTGCGTGTGCCTGGTCACAGCACCCTGTCTCTTTGGGACCACCAGGAATCATTTCAGCATGTGCCCTGTCCTGCTTATGTCAGCCACTGGGTCTCGCGGGTCCTCATCCCTTGCCTCTCAGTCTCCAATCTCCATATGGCTTGTTATGGACACCTCTCCCCACGCAATCCCCTTTTCTGAAATCTTCACCGTCAGTCCCTGGAAGAGTCCTTCTCTGTGGACGGGCTTTCCCTTTAGTGCTCTTGCTGAATTTATGCCCTTCCTCATTTCTTCTAGACCGTGCTTCCTCCTCCCTAAGAACACATCGATTTGAACCTTGTGTCATTAGACCGTGTTCCCCATTCCTGCCCTTGTCACAGCTGACCTCTGACCCACTCGCCCTGCCTCGTTCGGTCCACTGTCTCTCTCCCCAACACCGTGTCATGGTTTGTGATGATCTCAGTAGCCACAGGGATGACCTTCCAGGACTCTGCCCTCGTGCTTTTTTGAGCTGCTTTCCCTTAGTAACCTGGTCTTCCATCCGACATCAGCCACTCACTGCCTTGGTCATACTCTAGATCTTTCCATCTCAGTGACTTCCTGACTGCCACCTTCAGCTTTCTGGCTCACCCTCTCTGTCCCACTTCTCCCTTCCCTGGTGTCCCCACGTCCCTCCTGGACCCATTTACATTCCACAGTCACTCATTGTCTCTCCCCTCTCTCACCTCTCTCTCCCTTTATCTTACTTCCTGGATTAAACCATGCTTCTGGTTTTGTTTTGTTTTTTAAGATTTTATTTTTATTTATGTATTTATTTATTTTGAAAAAAAGAGAGCATAAGCAGAGGAGGGGCAGAAGAAGAGAGAGAGAGAATCTCCCAACGTTGGGCTTGAACCCACAAGCCGTGAGCTCATGACCTGAGCTGAAATTAAGAATCAGATGCTCAACCGACTGAGCCACCCAGGTGCCCCTAAAGATTTTATTTTTAAGTAAACTCTACATCTAGTGTGGGGCTCAGACTTGCAACCCTGAGATCAGGGGTCATATGTTCTACTGACTGGGCCAGCCATGTGCCCCCCATGTTCCTGGTTTTGTTTTGTTTTGTTTTTTTAATGTTTGTTTATTTTTGAGAGAGAGAGAGAGAGAGAGAGAGAGGGAGGGAGGGAGAGAGAGTGAGGGGCAGAGACAGAGGGAGACACAGAATCCAAAGCAGGCTTCAGACTGAGCTGTCAGCACAGAACCCGACGTGGGGCTTGAACTCACAGACCGCAAGATCATGACCTGGGCCAAAGTCAGACACTCAACCGACTGAGCCACCCAGGCGCCCCCCCACCCCCACCCACACCCCCATGCTCCTGGTTTTCAGTCCCACTCCCCAGCTCCCATTTGTCTCATGCAGTGGAACAAGGCTAGAGAAAAAACCAGAACCATGCTCTCTGTCTCATTTCAGATTCATGGTCACGCGCTCCAGCAGACCCTTCATACTGGCAGGTAGTTACAGCGTATTTCCTGTTTGCTCTCCAGCTCCTCAGGTCTGTTTTGAACCCTCTCCTTCAGTCCACAGCACCTCATTCTCTGTGCAGCTCTGGCCTGATGGGCTGCCTTCCTAGGTCATGGAGAAAGCAGGTGCAGGCAGCGACGTGGTAGTGATGTGAGCTCCCATCGTAGCGTCCGCCTACCTGCGTGTATGTGTGGCCTGCTTTTGTTAAGCTTGAAGCTCCCTGCCCTTCCTGAATTCTGTCCCCAGGTCCCACCTCCTCTCTCCAACTCAGAGCTGTTGCCCCAGCACTTCCCAGCTTTCCTGCTCCGGCAGGTTTTCCATCTGAAATGGAAAACTTTTATTTTTTTAACATTCTCCATGTGGTTCCTCCTCCCATCCTGGGAATATACATGTAAAGGAACTCTCTTGATCTCATTTCTGCTGCCAGCTTCCACCCCACTGCTCTGCTCTGCATCACAACAGAACCTCCAGAGTGAGTTGCTTCCTGGCCTCTGTGTCCTTCTTCTGTCCTTGCACCCACTGCTGATGCGAATCCAGTCAGGTGAGGACTCCTGTGATGTGCTCTGAGTCAACGGCTCAGCCCCAGCTGATGGGCTCTGGCCTCCTTCTTGCAACACTTTCTTCTTTTGGCTTCCAGAGCCCTGCACTCTCCTGGTTTTCCTCCCGTCTCTGTTTCTTCTTGGGGCTCCACATGGTTCTTTGTCGTTTACCTGACGTGTAAATGTCAGGGGTGGGGGGGGTGCGGGGAGCTGGGTGTCGATATTTTAACCTGTTGTCCTCTCCATCTGTGTCGATGTTCTTACTGATTCCATCTGGTTTCCCAGCTTTACTTACCATCTCTAAGTTGCTGGTCTGTAGGTTGATCTCTCCAGCCCAGAACCATTCCTTGAACCTCAGACTCACACACTGTCTAAGAAGCATCTCACAGAGAGCACGTCCAGAATTGTCTTATCTTCTCCTGGAACGCCCTCTCAGAAAATACCAGCTCATTTTTTTTTTTTTTTTTTTCTAGTTGCTGAAGCCTGAAACGTTCCCTCATCTTTTTACCTCATATTCTAGATCAGGGGTCAGCTATCCCTTTCTGTAAAGGGCCAGATAGTAAATGTTTTGGTTTTGCAGGCTGCATAGCCTCTGTCACAGCTATTTTCTGCCCCTGTAGCACAAAAAGCAGCCACAGACAAAACATAAACAAAAGAGCATGGCTACGTTTCAGCAGAACTCTACTTACAGAAACAGCTAGTGGGCCTGATGTCGGTTCCAGGGCACGAGCATGTCTTGCTTGGATTACTGGAGTGGCCGTGCCTTCCCTCGCTTCACTTCAATCTCAGGGTAGCACCAGTCTGAAGCGTCAGCCCATCCTTGTATAACAGCAGGGTTATTTTTCACAGCCAGCTCGTTACATTGCCGTCACAAACTAACGGAAGACTCGGGCAGCTCCAGCTGGTTAGTTCTGGGCAGCACACCTCGGTGCTGGGAAGTCCTGATTAGGTCTCTCCCATAATCACTACTATTCATAATCGCAGATCAGTAGATATTATTAGCTATGCGCCCGGCAGGTTGGATAAAGAGAGTTTCACAGATTTATCAAATAAACAAGTTTAAACAAAATGAAACAGAAAACAAGCACCCCCTAAGATGGGTCATGTCAGCGTTCTGTTGGTTCCCTCCACTGGCTCGCCGTCTCATGGAGAATGAGAGTCAAAGCCCTCACCTTGACCCAGGGCTGTGTGTGAACCGGCCCTGTTTCGGCTCTGACCTCCTTTCCCACCGTGCTCCTCCTCCTTGCTGCTCCTCTGCTCTATTCACACTGGCTTCCTTGCTCTTCCTGAACATTTCGGCCGTGACCTCTGTTGCTGGAAGGCTCAGCCCCTAAAATCCATGTGGCTTTTTCATTCACTTCTTCGGATGTTTATACAAGGGTGACTTTTGTTGGCCTTACTGTCTGAAGGTGCTACCTCTATCTGACATGGATAACTTTTTCTCTGAGCTTTTGTCACCAGCTGACGTAGCACACACATGACTTGCTTATCCTGTTTTCTCTG